CTATCCCCAGACCTAAAGTTCCCACTGAGAAGCTAATGAAGGATGCAATGAAATCCCCTGTCCAGGTAATATGCTAAGTTTCTGGACTTTCCTTACTCTTCTCTTTGATTTGATTTTATCCTCTGTAATGTTTTCTCCTTTTTCCAGAAAAAGGTTGATTTAAAGGCGTCTGAGTCTTCCTCTGAGAGCCCTCGAAGTGCCCCCACTTCTCCTACTGCTGCTTCACCTTCTCGAGATGTTATCGAGATTCATGAATCAGTTTCTCCTACTGAACGTCCAGAGGTATGTTCTGTTGACTCTCGATTTCACTTTTCTGGCCGTTCTCAAACTCGTGCATTGTTACAATGTTTTTTACCATAGGTGGTTTCTTCCAATGTTCTTACGGCCACTATTCCTATCACCAAGCCAAATACAGAATCTTCCCCTCCTGGTCCTGTGCAAGGTGGTGCACCATCCTTCAATTTTGACACAGGGGTGTCCTCTGGACAAGGTAATTAACTACTTCTTGGTCATCACAGTATTCCACCAAAGAATATTTTGTCTTACTAAAATATCCTTTTCGTGCAGGTCTAGAGGTAACTTCTGAGGATAAATAAACTCCTCCTTCTGGTCAATCTACGAGTTCAACTGATGCTGTCCCCTCCAACACTCTGCTGACTTCTATTCCTCCTGATGACATAGACCTTATAAGCTTCTTTGATAACGAAGCTGCTCATGATGACATTTTTGAAGTTTTGGAGAATTGGACTAGCGAAACTTCGGCTTCGGGGAAGACCCAAGAAACCGTTGCGAGCTTTCAACCGCTATTGTCTTCCTTCCGTTCGAAAGCCTATGTGGATCATCTCGATCAGGCTCTCATGGACCCTCAATTTAAACTGGAGGTTGAGCGGATGGTTGATGAGCTAAATGCACATCCTAATCTTCCTTCGGAGGTAACCGCAGAACTAAATGAATATGCTCATACTTTTGCTGCAGCCTCCGAATTGCACATGAAGTGGTCCACTGCGAATCAAGAGATAGCTCAGATTGAGGCTGATTCTGAAGAGGATCAAAGCAAATTGGAAAAGCTCAAGACAGAATTGCTTTCGATCAAAGACATCACTTCTCAGATCGTTCCAGAATTGATGAAGCTCAAGCAATCTGAGGAAGATATGGAGCGCACCCTTGCTGTCCTGTAGCGAGAGCTTGATTCGATCATGTCAAAACATGCTGCTTTGAAGCTCCAGAGTCAAGAGATCATGTTGAAGCAAAAGGGTTTGCAGGATGAAGGAAAAGACATATCTCTTCGAATTTCAAAGTCGTTGGATCAAAAGAGAAGATTGAAGGTATTATGTGCTTCGCGGAAGCAAAGTCTCGACCAAGCCTACCAGGCATATGAAGCACTCAAATCCAAATTCTGCAAGTGATCGAAAACCCGATGCCTATTTATAATTTAATGTTTATCCGCTTGTACCTTTATTGCTTATCTCTTTGAACACTCATCTCAGTACATGCTACTTTCATGGAATTTCTTCAATTATTTTTCGTTGATCACTTTACTTGCATTTCTCGAATTTAACTCTTTGATCAAGTATGCATTGTTCGAGTAGATTCTTTCGATAATGAATGGTCCTTCCCAATTATAGGTCTACTTACCCCGATCTCGAGATTTTTGGTCCATTGGGAGGATAACTTTTAGGAGTAAGTCTCCACTCGAAAATTGTTTGCTCTTAACCTTTTTGTTATCAACTCGAGCTATCTTTTCTTTCTGATGAATGACATTTTGCATGGCTGTCATTCTTTCATATCCAGTCGAATTAGTTCATCATACATTAAATTCTAATAATCCTCAACTGGTAACTCATTTTGCATTTGCACGTGAATGGATTGCAAATTGATATCAATAGGCAAAATTGCTTCGTGACCATACACCAACTTGTATGGCGTAGTTTGAGTGGCATTCCTGGGTGAATTTCTGTAAGCCCACAATATTTGCAGCAATGTTTCATGCCAATTTCGAGGTTTTCCCGAAATATGTTTTTTGATCAAAGCTATGATCACTTTGTTAGCAGCCTCGACTTGGCCGTTAGCTTGTGCATAGTAGGGTGTCGAAGTAATCATTCTGATTCCTCTCGACTGGGCATACTGGACCACTTTTCGACCTGTGAACACCGTTCCTTGATCTGTAGTTATTGTCTGGGGTATTATGAGTCGAAATATAATATGGTCTTCAATGAAATTTATCACCTCTTTCTGGTCAACTTCTTTTACGGGAATTGCTTCCACCCATTTCGTAAAATAATCGATGGCCACGATGATGTACTTATGGTTTTTTGTTGATGGGGGATGAATCTGGCCAATTACGTCAATTGCCCAACCTCGAAAAGGCCACGGTTTAACAATCGCATGTAACTCGGTTGCCGGTACTCTATGTATTGGGCCATGTTTCTGGCATTCTTCGCAACCCTTTGCAAATTCGATACAATCTTTGAACATGCTTGGCCAAAAGTATCCTTTTATGCACAAAGTCCATTTCATTTTCTGCTCCGCTTGATGGGCACCACAAATCCCTTCATGTACCTCTGCTATGGCTATGTAGCTCTCATGATTTCCAAGGCACTTAAACAGAACTCCATCAAAGCCTTTCTTGTATAACTTATTGTTCAATATCACATAATTGAGAGCTCGATATTTAACCTTTCTGTCAACTTGTGAATCTGGACTTTGCAGATATTCGATTAGCTCTTTCCTCCAATCCTAAATGGTTGAGGTGTCAATAACGAGGCATTCGTGTTCGTCACTCAACTCATTCCTTATACAAACAAGAGATTCGAGACATTCCCTGCTTATCTTGTACCCAGATGCAATCTGAGCTAGTTCATTCGCAATTTCATTCTCGTTACGAGAAACATGTTCTAATTGGACCTCATCGAATGAATTTAACAAAGTTGTAGCTCGAGAATTGCATTCGAGTAACTTTTCATTCATGCATTTATATTCTCGAGTTAACTGTTTAATCACGAGTTGCGAGTCACCTCGAATGATTATGTTCCTTGCCCCCAAGTCCTTAAGCAATTTTAGCCCAGTAATCAATGCTTCGTATTCAGTTTCATTATTTGACCATTCGGATTTCATTCTCAATAAGAATTTGGTGGGAACCCCACCCGGTGAAATAATCAGTAATCCGATTCCTGCTCCTAACTTGTGTTTCGATCTATCGAAAAACAATTCCCATGATTTCGTGGTTATCGCGAACTTTTTTACGCTGGACCTGATATGATCTGACGTAAAATGTCAAATCTACGTCGGACACAACATACATCCGACGTAGATTTGACTTTTTATGTCAGACCATACCAAGTCCGACGTAAAAAAGTTTGCAAAAATTACAAAAATACTACCGTGTCTTTTTTACATCGGATTTTCGTATTTCCAACGTTAAAGAGGTGATGTAAAATACTAATTTTCCACTAATGAATATACCCTTCATGTTCAACATATTCCTTTTAATAGATTTAAGACAAGTTCTGATACTATTTTAGAATATATAAGATTAAGCCTAATTTAACTCTATAAATCTAACTTGTAAGGTGAGAGGTACTTCATTTATTTACTTTATTTTAACTTTATATCTAACTAATATGAGATTTAACCGTTACATAATGTATTCTGATGCTAAATTCATTAATGAAAGGAAAGTCATCATTCTACAAAAGTTTTTTTTTTTTTTTTTTTTTTTAAAAAGTGATCTTATGCATTAGAATGATCATATTTGAAAAGAAAATCATTTTCACAAAATACAACATCACAAGATTCGAAAAATACTCCCCACTATTCAGGTCATAGAGACAACTGTCCTATTCTCTCATAAAGATATCTTGCAAAAACATTTTTCGACTTTGCTCCCACAACTTGTCTTTTTGTCAAGATCAGTTGCGAGCATGACACTACACACAAGTATCCAATATGAAGATAGGAGAATAAATATGGGAGTCTAACCAAACAATATTTCATAGGGACTTACTTTTGCATATGGTGGATGGATTTGTCAAGCATCTTGTAATAAGGACACATTCACCCCCAACTTAAATAAGTAGATTAGCTTGGAAGTGGAGAATTCAAGCAACGTATAAAATATGCTTATTTTCCTTTTCTTTTTTGACAACTATTCCATTGGGAAGTGTCAATCAAATACGGAGGTTTGGTGGATCATTCATTTTTTAAAAGAAAAAAAAAAGTTCTTCAAGACTTTGAATTAAGCACCATTGTCACTTGTCTCTATTTTAACATTTGTATTAAATCGAACCACCTTAGAAAAATATATAGAATTAAGAGTTTTCTTAACTTCCCTCTTTGCTGCAGTTAAAATATATTCATACACTGAGTGAAATCATCCACGATGGTCAAATAGAAAACAAGAAGAGTAAACATGAAAAGGACCCACTTTACAAATTCACAATGTATTAAGTCAAAAGCTTGATGGCTTTGTGCTACTTACAAAATATATGCATCTCTTATTTGGTTAGCTTTTAAGTAGACATGACAAATTAATTTGCTTGTCTTTCTTCACCAACATGAACACTATTTTGACCAAAAGGATGACTTACACGCCATTGCCGCATATAAATGAATCAACTCCACTTGTTTTGCATGTATGCACAAAGATCACTGCATAAGAATGATAGACCATATTTTGGTGCTCACCCACACCAATTCACTTCTCCAATTGTGGTCCTATTTCACGCATAATTTGTAGAGAAGGTGACTGCACAATGTGAATCATGTACCAATTAGGAGGCAAAAGTAAGATTACAAGTTAAAATATAGCCACATAAATGTGAAACCATGGTGAGAGCAAAAAGAATGAGAGCTTCTTGAATGTCATAAATCATAATGTATGTTTGGATATATTGCGAAACCGTGGTCAGAGCAAAAAAAATCACATAACAAAATGTGACAAATTTAAAGCAAAAATTTGTAACTTCTCCAGTTCTCCTTCACCCTGGAAAAAAAAATGATTTTTTTTAAAACCACCGCTTAACCACACACGCTAATAGTCATTCTGTGTGTTAACGTGCAGAACCAAGCCATGAATGAATCTATTTCAGAGCTTCAGAAAAAGGTGAGTCTTTCCCTTGCCGCGTATTGTTGTTGAATATGGTAACATATTCACGTTTATTCATTACATAAATGATAATGAACAATGATTCTTTTTCTCCTTCCCTTAAGAAGAAGAGCGAAAGATTGGCTTGAAAGTAATATACACACATGTTTTCCCAATGAAATGTATGAATTCTCTGCATTTTCAAAGAGTTTCTTGAGAATGTACAATTTTCTAAATTTCATGGGGATGAACACATTGTTTTTGTGTGCATTGTAAATTGTTGAATAGAAGTTGATACAGATATTTCAAACTTGAATTTTCAGTACAGTAAGCACACATTGATTTGATTTGAGTACATAAGTACTAGTGTTGTATGATGCAGGATAAGGCACTCCGAGAACGTAACAACTTGCTCGCCAAGGAGGTAATGACGTTTTTGTTTGATAACAGCTCATGCAATGCAATTTGGATTTCAAATATCACACACAGGTACAGTACATGACAACATGGTTTGAGTGAAAAACAGAAGAAGGAAAGAGAGAAAAGGCTGTCCCAAAAAGAGGAAGGGGTGCTGCAAAATAACGTGGATGTGACCTCTGTCTCTGTCCTAGTAACTCCACCACCGGAGTCCCTCAATATTGGGTTAGTGTCTTTTCCTATTACCCAAATATTCCCAACTCTGTTCCTCGTTATCACGCGTACGTACGTGTCTGTATCATCATTCATCAGTCTATGCATGAATTCCTTTTTGCCTTCCATCATGTGCTACTTTCTGCATGTACCACCTCATTATATTTTCACGGCTTTGCCTTAATAACGTATAGGCCAAATTAAAAATTGCCAGTATAATATGTCAAATGAAGGAAATCAAACCACTGTTTTCACCGCTTTGAACAATATTTATATTAGTAAAAAATTAGGTTCAATCTTTTCTTAAAAAAAATTCTTTTCGGGCCTTTTTTTCGTACACCTTTCTTTCATCCAAATATTAAGTATTGGTTAATGACTACTCTCGTTATATCATTTTAAAATCCACTTATCCACCTTATTAGTTGAGTTATGATTTGGAGTTGCAACTAATAATAATAATAATACTAATTAAGCCATGCACCTGTATTTGATGCAGAGGCTGCTCCCCAGAAGCCAAAGGTAGTGAAGGAAGATCAACATCAACTCGACCTAACACCATTCTTCCCCCTTGGATGCTTCGTCCAACAAAAGAGTAGAACTCTGTTTTTACATGGTATATGTTTGGATAAACTTTATAAGTATTTTTAGTAAAAAAAAATAAAAATAAAAAAGTTAAAATATTTTTTTATAAGTTAAAATTAGTTTATGTATAAATTAAAAATAACAGAAGAAAATTTTATACACAAATTAATTTTAATTTATAAAAAAATATTTTATTTTTCTTTCTTAAAATTACCTCAAGTTTATTCAAATATGTACCATGTCTAAATAGGATCTGTACAAAGATTATACGCAATCAAAAGGTAGTTGTTGGTGACTATCAGCATGTTTCAAATCCATTTTGAATATAACATGACATGAATTCTTAGAAACAATTATGTTTAGCTCCTGCATTGATTTTAGAAATTTATGTGAAAAATTAAGAAATGCTGTGTCTAAGACTTGTTTCCAAACGCACAATAACATCTGGAATGTAGTCTGCATGTGCGTCTCTGACTGCATTTCAATGCTATGCTAAGCATATTAAAGGTATTACATATAAATGATACCAATCTATTCTTCCATTTCTGTATAAATTGTTTTTTTTTATAAAGATTTTTCCTTGTAAAAAAAATGTCAAACTTATTGTACTTTATATAAATTTAGAACACTTGTAAATAATATAATTTATAAGAATATTGTTGAAGAGGTGATTAGGTATGTCTCTATGAATTCTTTATTATTGTTAAAGCTCTTGCAACTTGTAGGGCTTTCTATAGAATTAATCTAGAGAGTAGTTGTTTGTTAACGTGACAGTAAATGAGACCTAATTAATTACACTATTTAAATAATTCTAGGCATCTCTCATTATGGGCCTTGAAGTTAGACTTATATGGTTTTTTACTGAGATCGAAATTAGGTGTTTAAGGCCTATTATATTTAATCACATTGTTATATTTGATACATTATTAGTAACTTAAGTATTATTAGATAAATCATAATATTAGTCCATTTTTAACATAACAAAATTCACAATTAATAATAACTCACAAGAATTTATAAAAAAATTTCATTTTTTATATAACTTGTGAATAATACAATATCGTGGTTATTTATAATATTTTAAACATCTTTTTTGTTAGTTTATAATTTTGTTTTCTCTATTTTAAAATACAGACATTTGATTCTTTTGTTATTAAAAATATGAAATTTTAGCCCTACTATCAATATGATGTTTGTTGATCGTTAAATTTTAATATTATCCGGTGACTTATCACAACTTAAGTGATGTTATATTTATTAATATGACATGTTGTCATAAAAAATCAACCCATGTGTATTAAATAAGAGTTTTTATTTTGTGTGAGAGTATTTGTAGAAATAATTATTCAACCAGAAAACTTGTAGAGATATTTTTTTACTTCTTATTTGATTCCATTTTTATTTATTATAATTATTTATAAATTAAATATACATATTTTAAAATAAATTATCAGTAAATAAAAATAATTTTTGTCAAAATACAAATTATTTATTATAAATCTAAAATATTATTTATATTTTAAAAATATTTTACATATACTAATTTTAAATATAATTTATATATTAAAAATAATATATATATGCTTTATTATAAATTTTAATTAACTCTTATATATTAAACATGAATTTATAGAGTATTTTTAAGAACTTTTCTTCGATGAAAAGATTTTTAAGAACTCTTTTAATTTCTTATATAATTTGATTTTATTTATCCTAATTATTTGTTAATTAAATTTTAATAATTTAAAAATAAATTATCGATAAATAAAAATAATATTATGTTATAATATAAATTATTTATCATAAATGTTAAATATAATTTATATATTTAAAA